GCTCACGTGTACTCAAAGTAACACTGGAAATGTGTTCAAAACCTCTGCAGTTCTGTGAAAAATGTTGCCTCCTTTCCCTCCCCTTGTTGGTAACACAATGATGGTGTGGGTATAACAGTTAAGGGGAGCAGGGGGGTGCCCTGTGTGATCATTTCTACTACTGTTGAAACACTCCCTCCCTTTATTACATTTTATTCCCTTATTCTTAGCTGGTCGATGAATCTGTGCTTATCTACATAACTGGATAATAGGCATGTAACCAATAGAAAAACACACACGTGCGTGCACACACACCACACACCCATACACCACATGAACTATAATAACTGGAGAAGTATGGCACATTCTGCAGGAAACCAGTAAAGATCCATTTCATCGGAAATGGAACCAAAGGGGAAAAAGTCAGAATTCTTTATATGCATCTGCCCCAGGGAGTTGCTCGCCCTGGATATACATAGAGGGCATGCTCAGTGAGAACACACACAGTACATATTTATAGACAATTCTCATTTAATGAAGGCCCTAGGCCTAGGACCCTATCTAATTTACAAGGCTTTTGTAGGAAAGACAGTTTTAGGGATGACAATAAGTCTATGGCATTTGCTTTTCCTGCAGGGGAAGCTATAACACATTCCCATCCTTCAAGAGAACCCAAGATTGATGACTTGGGGGTTTTGCTGGTTAGTGTTTTTTATTTCTTCCTTTTCTTTATTTTTTTCAGCTCCCTTTGTACCCTGCCTGGCAAAAATGTTCTCAGCAGTCAAGGAGAGAATAGCAGCACAGCTGCCCTTGAGCCAAGTTGGTAAATCCTACTGGGAAACTACCCCGCACTGTCAGATGTTGTGGTTTTCAGACACGTCTATACAGACTAGTTGAATTAAAAACCAACTCCAGACTTGATGTTGCTGAGCTCCTCAGCTCCATCTTGCCATCCTGATTGATCGAGGAGATGGGTCTATAGTTAAAGTGGCATAGCACTTTGAGGGTTTAGCCATTAGAGCACACTGCTTTCTCTTTGGAAGGTAACTTCTTGCTTGGCTAGGTTATGGAAGCTAAGGAGTGACGTCAAGATGTTGTCTGGCCAGAATTTGCAGATAACCATAGAACTCTTCTCCTCCATCAGGCATGGATTTAGCCTCCTTTAGTTCCTGCAGTGACACAGGAGCCTCCAAATACCAAATTATTATCAGGCGGTCTTGGGGGAACCTCTGGGCCCTGCAATAAAGTAGACAGACTTGCTATTGGAAAGCGCTCAGGAGCAATTCAGCCCTGTTCAGATTGCTCTAAAATCCTGCAAACCATCTCTAGACTTGGTAAATGAAAACCTGACATAGCTCCTGATAGTAAAAAATTAATTCTGGGGATATAATTTATTAACATCCTTCACTTAAATGATCTTACATATCATTTAAAGAAGTCTGTTTTTGCTCATATTTTTTTCTTGTTTGTTTTTTTGTTTTGTTTTGAAGGCAGAGTTACATAAGTATGGAGGCTGAGTAATTTTTGAAAAGCCACTTCTGAGCATTGTCAGTAAAGTAATCTGACGCAATCTGGTGTCATTTATTGTTCCCACCCAGTGTTTTAAATCTTAGGAAAATCACATGAAATATTTTAATAAGTGCCTGTTCTCACTAGGAAAATTGGAGTATCTAGTAATACCAGGCCTTGTTTCAGCACAGCCTTCAAAATGCCGTATCATCTTTCTGATCTGGCCTGTCTCTCATATTGACCTGCGTAATCTTGTAGGTAATTGGGATTTAGGACCCTTGCTCTAAGCTATCCTATTATAGTGCATCAGAATTATAGGTTGTTATCTTTAACCGTTGGTCTCCCCGACAAGGCTCCCTGAAGGCAAGGAACATGCATGCCATCACTATCACCAAATCTGCAGTTCCTAACACTACAGAAGTATATGCATAGTCAATAAATATTTAATGAATTGAACTTTCCCACATTAGATTCCTACAATTCAGTAAAATAAGACTGGGACCACTTTTTCTTTGTAAGATCACACATCTATTTGAAAGCCAACATTTTTGGGTAGCAGGAAGATTTAGAAAACAGAAGTAAATATGCTGACTTGTGACCTAAGTCTCTGATAGGTTCAGAAGTAAATGGTATACTGTCCATGTGACATTTTGCTTTAAGTATGCGGGAAAAGTTCTAAACTTTTTCTGAGATGATCTTAAATTTGTTTTCCAGATGTAACCTATCCAAATTCTTGAAGATCCCTTCTCTAAAGGTTCTTTAGAGGTTAGTTGTAAAAATATTCAATGGGAATCATTTAATTGAAAGCTAATCTCCCAAAATTGTATGGGCCTATAGCAACAGATCCCTCTGTATATAAGATCTATGCATTTTAAAATATTTTAATTTCTGAATAACTATAATCAAGATGTTCAAAGATTGGATTTTTGTTAAAATATTATTCCTGCTAAAATTGTCATCTAAATTTGTTTAAATTGGCTAATATATTATTGAAAACATGTCTTACAAATAAACTATTAGGTAGGCAAGTTTAATAGCAATAGAGGCAATGAAAAAGGCTATGGGTCATCTTTACATGTTATAAGTTTGCTAGTAATTAATATTTCAGTAATATATATCCACATCTGGTCAACATCTGGCCAACATCAAAAGTATACCATGTCTCATGCTATGAAGGAATAATTCAGCAGATATAATTTCTGCTCTCTAGGAGCTTACAGTCTAACATAAACAAGACTACAGAAACACACACAAGAGAGTAGTCATACTCTTAACCAAAGGCAGCAGATACATTGAAAATAAACGGAAAAATTATGGGGCAAAGAATAACATTTAAGAAAGGTTGAAGGTAAGAAAAAAAAATAAATTGCTTCCTCATTCCCATTTCTTTAAAAAAGCATTCATGGAAGATGTATTATTGTAAATGTTATTCAAATCATGAAAGAGTATATGACTTGAAGCCTAGAAGAAAAAATTTCTTCTGCTCTAAGATGCTGAGTGACTGAAAATACTGAGCTGAATAAGGATGGCTGGTGAAGGACCCAGGAAAACTGTCCAAGGAAGAAACCAGCAAATGGAAAATCAATGGTCTGGATCCCGCTGGTAGAGGACAGAAGGTGAGGAAGGCTGCAGGTCTCCTCAACTCTCGCAATTCCTTCTAAGTGCAGGTGGTATAAAGTGGCTAAGCCACAAAACCAAGACTCCTCCTCAAAATAATAAAAATGTCTAATTCAAAACCTTTAAAAAAATCTCCACGTACTCTAGGTTAAGGCAACAACCTGTGGAAACTTTCTTGTGGGACTTTTAAGGAAAGAAAGCACTTCTAGATAAAAGCACAGACTTAGCATCCACCTAGTCCACTTTCTTCTATAGGATCTCATTCACTTGTTCATTCACTTGCTTTCTTGCTAATTTACTTATTTTGTCTTATTGGACTTGTTGAGCTGATGCTATCAACTTGATTATTCAGCTTTACTTTTCCTCCATCGACAAAGGAGAGCAAACTTTTGAGGACAGGTTGATTTTAGACAACCTCAATTATAATACAGCCTCAGGCCTACTGAAGTACATTATACAGCCTGATACTGAAGGTGACAGGAGTGTCAAAGTACTCTGTTCCTAGAGAGAACAATCAAAATGATGACAGATTCTCCCACCATAATAGCCTGCTTTGCCTTATTCAATATCTGACTGCTCTGCATGCAGGGTATTTTAAGGACCTTTGGAGGATGCTTATCTCTACAAATTATACACATTTTTAAGAAATGCCTACACACATCTTGTTCACACCATAATGACAAAGTTAAAATTAAAAATACTTTGATTTCAATTAACACATTTTATTTCAAGAATCTCAATAGTCTTCATATCTGCTATTCTATTTATCCTGTCATATTACATATGCAACTGAAGTCTACGGTGGGGTCCATTCTCACATACTAAAAGCTTATAATTCTGTTCTTCCTAACAATTAAACTCAAATCCACTATTAAACATACATTGGGATAAATTTGTATAAGTAGGAGGAAGTAACACATGTTTCCTATTATATGAACCAATCTGATACTCATTACTAAGCCTCTTTATCCCATGAAGAGTTTCAATGAAAAGTAAGTTCCCAAATGCTAACCTTGCAATAGTCCTACCTTACCTCTGAAGCAGTAAAGGACAACAGCATTTAAGGTGGGGTAAAAATATGCATATAGACAGAATGTACCCATTATCCAGTGCCAGAGAACCCCTGGGATATGGGCTACCTAATGTTCTACCTTCATAGCTCCTTATTCATGTGTGAGGGAAATCCTTGAGTTCCTATGGCATAAGGCCTGTTTTACCATTGTGGTTTTATTTTTTGTTGTCTTTAAGGCTGTGCTCCACATTTTATATTTGAGAAATGGCTCAAAAAAGTAGAATAAGAGTCTTTGAAAAAAATTTCAGCTTTTAATAGGGGTTAATGTGTTGATTTGGTCTGAAAAATATGTCAGCATACTTATGTTGTTTGCTCTCATGGCATCACAACTAGTTTCATGCTGAGAACTAGGACTAAACAAATAATACAGAACTACCAGAATTGATACCACAACATAGCACTTCCTGACTATCTACAATGCACATTTTAATAATTTTCAATAAACCAAATTTAAATCCCACCAATTGCCTGCCTTCTGTAACTGATATATGTGCATTCTAATGATATTTCTGGTTTCTTTCTCTATCTTTTTCAAGATAAGCAGGACTTGATTCCAACTTCATGTTGACAAATGGTTTTTGGAAAATGGATCCCAAGAGAAGCCAGTAACTGCTCACAGTTCCAAGCACTGCAGGAGACACACCCTGAGAACTCTATAAGCAACAAATTGAAGGATCTATCCCATGGTCCCAAAGCCCCGAGAATCCTCAGACATTTCACTATCCTTCTCCCCTTTGTCAACCTTGTCAAGGACTCTGATAAACATGCTTGCAGATACAGCTATGCAGCAAATGGGCCAATAAGTATAAACAGCTGTACTTACATGTGTCTGGCTTTAGCTGACTGTTGGTGATGCCAAAGTACTGGGGATTTTCAATGACAGGGATCTTGGTCATTCCAATAATGACGGCATCAGGGCCGCCTTCTGAAGATGATGGGGTGTTACTCCCATTGGAGATGTGGTGAAGTGGACTGGCAGAGTCATCATCGTTGCTGATAACTGAAGCTGGGCCTGGAGTTGGAAAAAATACATACTTCCCTGTAATTTTTTAATGTCTTTATAATTCACAGATATAAAATTCACCCACTTAAAATATACAATTCAGTGGGTTTTAGTATATTCACAGAGTCCTGCAACCATCAATATAATTTAATTTTAGGACATTTTCATCATTTCAAATAGCTGTCATACCCCATTCTCCCCACTCCCCACCCAAAGTATCCATAAATTTACTTTCTATCTCTATGAATTGACCTGCTCTGAAAATTTCATTTAAATGGAGTCATAATATGTAATCTTTTAGGACAGGCTTTTTTCACTTAGCATAATGTTTTTAAGGTTCATTCATGTTGTAGCATATGTCATTATTTTATTCCTTTTTATTGCCAAATAATATTTCATTGTATGGGTATATCACATTTTGTTGATCTATTCACCAATTGATGAATATCTGGGTTGTTTCAACTTTTGGGCTGTAATGAATAATGCTGCTAGGAGCATTCATGTACAAGATTTTGTGTAGACATACACTTTTATTTTTCTTAGGTGGACTTGCTGGGTCATATGTTAGCTCTCTGTTTAACTTTCTGAAGAACTGCCAAACTGTTTCCCAAAAGCACCATTTTATAATCCCACCAGCAACATGTGGATGTCCCAATTTCTGCACTTCCTTCTTCCATAATTTAATATACTGTCTTCTTCTCTGTTTTCTGAACATCTTCAGATGCTCCCTCATTGAAACTCCCAACATCAATCTGAGATCCTGTTTCACAGTGTACCACCAAGAGATGTACTAGGAGCTCAAAGATCTGAGTTTCTTTTTCCATTCTTTGGACAAGTCACTTACCTTCTTTTTACCTCTGCATTCATTTATATTTCTAAAGTGTGCAAAATGATATCCACTTGTTATTTTATGAGACTACTGACATGAGAATGAATTGTAAATTTAACTGTGCTTCATGAGTGTGAATTGCTACTAGGTATTACTAAATGAACTTATAGCTTGTGGACTAGAATTACATTGGACTGTCCAATTACTCTGTTGCTCTCTCTGTATGTTCTGTCCATAGCTGCACCAATTTTGCCTGCAAAATAATGGCTCAATCCCACAGCAATTTACCTGTTATGCCTTTAGCCACAATATTATTTATTTATTTATACTAAATATAAATAGTCTTCATACTAAAGCAATAACCATATCATTTTCATATAACACTTTAACTTTCTAGTCCAGAGTCTCAGGAATGTATGTGCTCATAAATATGGCCTAGTGTGTCTTGCCTAAACCTTTTATCCATTGACCACTAAACTCACATTGTTGCAACCAAAAGTATATTCATAAGGATAAAAATCTATATGAAAGCTTCAAGATGATTAAGATCTCGGTGGCTCATGGTAGACACTCATACATGAAAAGTAGACAAAGCCCACTAGACAGGTACATATGGCATGTGTCTTTGCAGTGTACAGAATGGGTGCAGGGTCCCATGGAAAGCAACCACTCACTGGCCAGGACTATTGGCATAAGCCAAGAGGGAGATAAGAAGGAAAGAATAATGAGGAAAGACAAAAGGAAGGCCATGACAAGGCAGAACTGAATAGACAGCCAAGGCAAATGTGTACTAGGGAAAGGAAAGTCTGAATCACTATTTCCTGAGCAAGAGAATGTGTATTCATCCAAGCCCCAGGATACATGTTTCAGCACCTCCATCCATTCTTTATCTCTTCCCTCACACTTAACTATTTCAAGGAGACACACCACAACTCTAAAAACAAAAGCTGTTGTACTGTACATTTTTAAACCCCCTCTGAAATATCATGGTAATCCATCTCCCAATTCAAGATCTGTTTTCCCCCTCATATGGGGATTATCACAGTATGTAGTGATAACAATTGGACATTCTCCAGCTAGCTGAATCTTAAACAAACTATGCAGGAGGCAGCCAACTGCTATTATAGGTAATTTTTTAAAGCATTCTCTCAAGGGGATATGCATTTAAGATGCCTTTAATGATACACCCTGGCTTAATTCTGCAAACAAGTCCTCACACAGCCAATTTAGAAGTCACAGAACACTCAAAGCAAAGGCAATCTCCCCAGTTGTGCTCGTCTTGTGCTGAGCTCACTGGCATTAGCAAAGAGAGGAAATTCTGCCAAGAATAAAGACAACTTCTTTCTAATATCCTTAACCATCCTGTTTTATGATTTGCTTCCTGGCAGGCCTGGATCACCCAGAGCTTAAATCCAGAGATGGAAAATAGAAATGTGTTGTCCTAAGGTTTCTGCTTCTTATCAATAAAATCTTCCCCCACTGGCTCCCCCACTCTGTTCTCAGTGCAGCTGCCCCCTCTGTTGGGGTTACCCAAGTAGGCTACTGCCTGAACTTGCTAAGCAGTCAAGGCCTGGAATTCTCAACAGATCCAGGCTGCATGTTTACCCTCAGAAATACAGGAATTGTCATGTTCAAATGCTCCACATGCTGTCAGAAGGCCAGCAATATTTGCTCCTGGAGTCCCTGCAATAATTAGAAACACACGGATCCCAGGTGCCTTCATCCCTGATTCTTCCAGCCCAAGTTAGGCTAACACTATCAACATTCCCATAACATTTCATCATTTCAGAGAAGGTTGATACCTAGAAGACAACATTGAGATTCCTCCAGGAATCTGGGCTCTGAATCATTTGCCACAGACACAGCAGGGCTCTAACTTAAAGAGTTCAACTGAGAGGCTTGCTCTTTGCCTCTCTGTCTCCACTGAAAGACACCCTTTCCTTCCCCTGGCCTCTCTGATTAAAACCCCAGGCTCTGAAGTAACAGATCTAAAGAAAACGGTCTGTCTTTTGGGGGTGGAGGCGGGGGTGTATTTTTAAGCATAGGAGTTATATAAAGGACCAGAGGTAATTTTTCAAAAGCCTTTCACTCCACCAGAAGGTTCCTGTTGACAAATCTGACCAACATACAAACCTCAACCATTTATCAATTAGAATATTAATTCCAGTGCTGTTTTCTTCATTATTGATGCTCCAAATCCTGGGAGATTGATGTGGCTGGCAAGGTTGCAGAGGTTCAGCCCATTTTTCTAGGAACATTTTGATCTAATAGAGCTCAGCAAAGTTGGGCAGGGGAAGAAAAGCTCTCAGCGGGGACAATGAATGTCTACATAATTTGACAGCAGCCTGTCTGTGCATGTCACGCGATGTGTCATTGTGTGTCTGTGCACGTGCTTGAGGAGACACGATGAAAAGACAGACAGAAGAAGAGTCAGGGGCACATCACAGTTTTATAAGAAATTTGTATGAGGACTTGAGAAAATGTCTTATAAAATGAATAAGAAGTTTTAAATTGCTGGGTATGTGCAATTTGCTGAGTTTGGGGTAGAGAGTTCTAATTACTGAGCTGACAAACATGAGTTATGCCTGGAAACATTTTTAGCTTATTTTTTTAATATGTCTCAAGTTCAAGGAGGCATTTTTCTTTTATCAGAGCTGCTGGGTAATGTACCCTGCATCTCTGACTTTACAGACCTTATTTTCCTGTGATAAGGATCAATGGAGGTCATCTGGGTAAAGAGTTTCATCTCTCAGGGCCAACAATGCCTTCAAGGTGAGGGGAGAGATTATTGTTCTTGAGCAGCTGTGTTAAGCATGTCATTTATTTTCTCTATTCTCATGCTTCAACATCTTGGGCCTTGGAGACATTGGAGGGACTGCCCCCTCCAGGGTTAGCCAGTTCCCGCACATAGTAGCCCCCGAGTGTACCTTTCATATACAAACTAATTAATCCATAATCAACACTGCAAACACATTCCTTATCAAACTATCATTCCCCAGGCACCTTCTCCATGGGCGTGATTACCCCAGAGCCAGGCATCAGACCACCAGGGACTGCTCCTACAGCCCACACCCACCGAAGTTTTTCAAGCCATCCAATCCCAAACCTGCAAGCCCTGCTTCCCCCAGTCCTTCCCGAGGAAACCACAGTAAAGGCTCTTGTCCATGCTTTTCCCTCATTCCTCCTGCCTCCTAACTGACCCAGGTGCTTCCTCGCTGTGGTCCCCCTGAGGCATGGCATGCCTTCTTCTCTTGGGAACAGTAAATAATGAATTATCTGTTCATCAATGGCAGTCATCCCCTGACCTATTGGCCTCACCATACCTGCATAATAACAAAACCAACATTTTAAAAGCAGCAGCCCCTCTGATGAACTGGAGTTGAAAGAAGAATCCTGAAGGCTTCTGTCTGCTGTGGCCTCAAAGGGTGAAATCCTGTTTGAAGCTTTCCAGGGAGCAGCACCTCTCTGCAGGGCAAACTGGCCTGAACAATGTTATAGGGGTTGCAGTGATTTGCTGTTTAGTGGAGGGAAGACCCCATCCCACAGAAGTGTTTTGGGAAAATTTATCACCTAGCTCCTCCTGCCTCTATCACGTGCACACACTTATGCACAGAGCACAAGCCATAAAACAGGACACCTTCAAGACTGCCCATGAGGACACTCTCGGGTGTCTCAAAATGACTGTGATCAGCTGTATCTGAAATCTGCCCTGAGGAATCGCTGATATATCCTGAGGTGGCTGAGCTTAAGGTTCCAACTTTGCCACATCTCCATTTTTCCTTTGCTGGTTAAGAGCTTTTTCCTTGGAATTCACGGGGCTAGTTAAGGGTAAAACTGATTGATGGCAAGCTCAAAAAGGGAAATGAAACAGGGCTCCTCATATGGATGGGTGAACATGTACGGGGTGGATGGCTCAGAACTGAAAGTTTCCATGACACTGATAGGCCTTTTTAAATTTTCCCTATAGCCAACCTTGCAACCAAAATAGACACTAACCAATGGATGCCCACAATGGCTAGATCTTAGAAATGCACATGCAAAACAGAAGAAAGTCTGCCTTTTCATGCCTTCTAAACAATTTCTGTTCATTGTCTTTGTACCCACAGAAAATACTGAACAAGTTGGAGGTCCTGGGAGATCACACCTGATTTCAATCCTAGAGATGAGACACATTATCTGCACTCACTTGGTAGCTACAAGCTCTGCTTTTCAATTGTCAACACAATTGCAAGGAATAGAATGCAATCAAGCACAAATCATAATGTCTGGATGTTAGTCTTGTTTTGAAAGAGAAATGGTCATAAACAAACAGCTGATTTGCCAATTCAGAAATGTATTGCATTGTGGCCGATGACAGAAAACTAAGACCCATTTTTTCCCAGATTTGACTATTTAACGAGCTTTGCTGTGCATTGAGCTGTAGTACAGTTGTATTTTATTTCCTTAACCTTCTTAAAAATCATTAGTAACCTAGAACTGGATGACAGTTGACATATCCATGGAGGGGATAAACAAGTCAACTTCAAAAATACAGAACCATAACGGAACTCAATTAGCAATGGTAATACCTTTTCTGGAAAAATTCTAGGCCTCTTTCTTCAGCAAATCAGAAACCAGGAACACACACACACAAAATTAATTGAGGGACAAGTATGAAGAGGAATTTCATCTGAATTAAACACAAGCTCATTACTTATCCAAAGAAGGAGTAACTACTTACCAACACCTTGTCTTGATTTTACTTTCCCAAATCCAAACCATGAGAAATCTGAAAACCACAACAAAACATAAAATAAACTTCGAAAGAGAAGCAGAAACCAGAGGAATTCAGCACTGTCCTTAGTAAAATAACTCCAACTACCTCAAAAAGCTCCATTGAGGACCGACACTTCCTCTCAAACACCCAACCCTTGAATTTTTGTGTAAAGATTTATTTCTCATCCTGAGAACATGAAAGTTCAAGGCAGATAAGGGACAGCAGCCCACTTCAAGAAAAATGACCAAAACCCAGGGTTAAGAGCTTTAAGCAGTTTTCTTCCTTCCTCAGTTTATCTCTTTCCCCCAAAGTATGGAACCCGACAAAAGAGATGCAGGGAGAAAATACACAATGCATCTGACAAATGCACTACGGTTCTGAACTTTCACCATATAGGAAAATAAGAGGAAGCAAATCTTTTCTGGAGCTGAGGCAGACAGTAAAAGAGGAACGTAAAATCCTATGGGAGAACTAAAACTTAAGTTGGATGGGGATTCAAGAGAGGAAAAAAAAAGGGAACCAGCTCTACATGGATTCCACGACTAGACTCTCTGTGTGATGGCGGGAGCTCGAAGCAGAACTGTGCCTCTTACAACACAAGGCTCCACGGGCACATGTAAGGAAAGTTCCGCCAGATGTTCTGAGGTCCTCCAGTGAATAAAGTCACAATGAAAAGTATATTGTTTCCTGGGCCCAACTATTTTCTTCCAGATAATTTCCACTGAGTTCAAAGTGAATTTGACACAGTGGGGAAATCCCTGGATACAAGGCCAATAAAGGAATGGAACCCAAGTAAGTAACTGTGTTTCTGAGCTTTTTAGATCTGTAGTGATTTTTACAGAAATTAGTATAAAAAGCTATGTAGAAGAAGAACCAATTTAAATGAAACAATGTATATAAAGCCCTTTGCACACTCAAAAATGCCTAAAAAATTGTTGTCATGATTACTGGTTTTTTCAAGTATATTTAGCCCTTCCTTCCCTGATGTTCTAGAACTTTTGCTCCCCAAACCCTAAGCTGATTTTTGCTTCTGATTGATATTCCTCTGAATGCTTCCTTCCAGGTTTGAGAAGACAGATGGGATGAAGGTCTGGCCTCTATCCAATGCCAAATAAAGCTTCCTTTGCACAGAAGACAGTGAACCTCATTCACAGGGCCCTGGGTCTAGCGAGGCAGGGCTGTGTCTGGGGATTTCTCAACTACGACTAATCCCTTGCAAAACAGAGTGTATTTTCCTACTGATCACTTTTTGCTTTCTATATTTGTTTGATTTATGTAGTTTTAATAAAATTGTATATTGAATTCTTAAGACTGCTTTTTTCCACCTGGAAAAATATTTTCCAGGTGGAAACATTCGAAACATTTTTTTTTCCAAAACCATGTTTCTATCTTACAGAAAATCCACTGACGCCATAGCCATTCCTCACTTACATACTCAGGTCAAAATATTTTCAATCATTAACTATAACATACACAACTGCAAGAAACATCTTGGCATATCTTAGGTGTTCCTATCCTCATTTTCAAAAATTGTTTCCTCAGGGTAAATCTTAGAGATGGAATCATTGGATCAAAAGGATGAATATTGTTAAGGCTGTCAACACATGCAACTAAATTACTTTCCCACTATATCCGGTTTACTATCAGCAACAGTGTATGAGAGGGTAGGAGTATATTTCTAATGGAAAGCTAAGGGTGAATCATTTCCTGCACCTGTCCTTGCCATTGGTACATCTCCATCTAACGGAGCAGAGACATGACAAATACCCTCCCCTGACCTGTGCCACATGAAACCATTCACACCCCATGTACCTGAGCTGGGGTTTGGCATGGCTACAGCAAGGAGGACTGCAGATTATGGAAAGAATTAGAATAAGGCAGATAACACTGGTGCAGTCATTATAGTTCACCAAGTGCCTCCTCCAACCCCAGTCACTCCTCCCTTGGTCCTCAGCCAAACCCTGTAATATATTATCCTGTGTTCATTGACAAGGAATTGAGACTCAGAGAGGCTGATAGACTTAGCAAAGGTCACAACTCACAGTGACTCAGCCTTCTAATGCCAAATCTAGGATTGGTTTGTTTGTTTTTTTAAATTCTCTTAAGAGTTGCTCTTCCAAAAATAGCCAAAATTAGCCAAAGTTTACAATATTACAATCAGAATTCAATTTTATATATAAAAAAAGCACTGCAAGTAGTCATATATTCTCATTTACTTATTCAATAGGAATAGCAGGGGATTCAAAGAGAAATGAAAAGTGTGGCCTGCCCTTTAGTAGTTTCCAGTCAAAGATCAGCTACCCTGGAGGTATGTCCAGAATGTATGGGACTCAAAGGAAAAGCATCTGTCCAATTCTGGGGGGTGAGGTGTGCAGTCAAGGAAGGGTTCCCTGGTTTCTGGCCAACAGGTTAGAATGAGCTAAGAATGGGGAAAAGCAGAGAGGCGTTCTTAGTGTAGTAGTCAGGGCTGGCATGGGCAGTCCTGCCTCTGTCAAGGGGCTGATGTGGTGGGAAGTGGAAGGAACTGAGACACAAAATAAGGGCCAGGACAGAAAAAGAAATCTCAGGCTAGGCAGCAACATGATCAAGGTTAGTTTTAGAAAAATCATTTGGGCTGCCACGTGCAAACAGGATTATGAGAGGGCAAAAGACTGGGTAAGAGAAAGCAAGGCATGAGAAAACTGTGGCCTGACTCAGGTTCTGGGAAGAGGGGACAGGGAAGAGAAGGAGATGGCTGTCAGGCATGTTTAGGGGGATCAACAGGACATGGTGATTGATTGCAGACTGAGAGGAGCATGAGAAATAAACAACAAAGGTTAGGGGTTTGGACCATGAGACATATGGTGATGCTGCCCACAGTGTCTCCAAGGAACTCAGAAGGGAAACAGTGTTAGGAGGTTAAACCGACAGCATTGGTGTGAGGCATAAATCCCAAATAAGATGTTGATGTGAGGACTGGTGTTTGGACCACAAAACACATCTCTAATGCCCAACAGGGATTTGCCCAAGTTCAAGAACTTATAGTTTAATAGGAGAGCAGAACCTAAATGCCTTGCCTAGGACATATTTCTTGTTTGGGTACATAAAACACCCCGTTTTGCAGGAAAAATAATGAAAGGGCATCCAACTGAGGCTATCTTAATGATAAACTTATCCCTAAATAGTTAAAAACTTATAAGCTCTCTTTAACAGTAACACAATTATTATGTAAGACAGAATACAATCTTCTTGACTGTACCTCAGAGTACTTGGAAAATGTAACAGACCAGATAAGCAAGGTCGCATTGGTACCTCTGTCTCCTCCTCTCCCCCAGAAGCTGTTTCTTGTCTGACAGCTCTTTCGTGATGAATTTAAGCAGTAGTCTTAAAACCTCAATACTAAATTTCACCAGCAAAATTTTCACACAAGGCCAAAAAGAAACAATTTCTCAATTTCCTGTGATGTTTCACCCATTGGGAGTCAAGCTCTGCCAAACATTCCTTTATATTCTGTTTAATAAGAGACACTTTATTCACTGTAAAATAAAGGGCTCCTTCAAAAGCAAATGTAGTTGCAGTGAGCTTAAAGGAACTCCTCCTTTTGGAATCTAGACCAACAAAGATTCTAAATTATGAAATTAACCAATTAAATCCATATCACATTGAAGAAAGTTCAATCTTCCCTGACCAGAGAAGAGAAATGTATTTTTTAAAAAAATAGCACGTTATCACATTAACTCTAAGGTGAGACTTAAGCTAAATAAAATAAATGGCTATAAAGATTGCTTTTCAAACATCTCCCAAAGGAAACAGCTAGAATTTAGGAGGTTGAAAAGGAATATTTATGATGCCAGCAAGAGAACCAGAGGAAGGAGCAACAAACAGGCTATGTGGAGAAATCCAATCTTCCCTGTGGGCGCTGACTTGCAAACACAATAAACAAGACTGTTAGAAGGGTTCTGATCTCCAGAGAATGCAATTTCTGGATTTTTTTTCTCTTTTAAGTTACAGAAAAATCATTTTAGTACATGAGGAGAAAAATCAGCTTCTCTCCCTTTTAACTTTGGAGAAATTAAAATTTGCTGTGTTCTCAGATGTAATTTCTCCGTATTTTAAGGCAAGACTCATCACCCTCCACCCTCAAGAAAAACACCTTTAACATTTTAATGGAAGCAAATGGAAAAATATGATTCACTTACAGAAATGTACTCTACCTCCAATTTCTTATGGCCCCACCCACTCCCTAAAAGATACATGAAAGGAGCTCTCAGCTGCCTTTGCTGCAGGAAAGCGTGAACTACATAGTGCTGAGCTCAGAGTAGACACTCAATCAGTACTTGATGGAGTAGCCTGTTACCTCAAAGAGCCAGGAGGACTGTTCATTGGAGTGGAGGGGAAATGAATGCAATGGGTGTTTTGCTGAGAATATAAGCATCTCCCTTTCCAACTGACAGACAATCAGAATGAATAATAGTTTGCTTCAAATGAATCCCAGTTCCTCAGGCTACTGAACAGTGTAGTTTGGGGCCAAGTTTCCACTTCAATTTAATCTTAATCTTTCACTTAAGAACACAACCTTTATATATATGTTCCATATCCACTGACTAGGAAGTAGACTTGCTTTGAGTTAAATTGGTTGTGGAAATGCAAAGGGTCCTGGAATCCTCCTGACCAACCTTAAACTTCAATTTGACTTATACTATTTTCCAAGTAACACCGAACATCTCCAATGTGAAAAATATGTGTATTTTAGCTAAAACTGCTAGCTGCTCTCTGAAATTTTTATTTTTCTCTTTTTTTCCCCTGGGCTCACAGCTAGTCTACAGTGACTAACCCTGCTTGCAGTTAGTTGTGAACATATCATTAAATTATAGCCAATGGAGAGTGGGCAGAGTGATGGATACCATTTCTGGGCCTGGTCCATCAAGAATTCCCATTTATGCTACCCTAGGCTTTCCTCTTTTACTTACCCAGAATGAAGACAAGACTGTTTCAAACTTGAAAGCTATTACTTGCAGTTAGTAGAGTAATTT